TAAGCGGTGTATAGATAATGAATGGATAGATGGCTTCCAAGATATTAGCCAAAACATTTTGCAGTGTTTTTGAGCCCATTTCTCAAAAGTGATTACTGATGTGTAAATAGAAATAAAAAGAGGAATGTGTCTGAAAACAAAAATTATTCCAACTTTATGGGCAACATAAACTTCTACTTCAAGCATGTAGGACTACTGATGCAACAAAAACATATGGAATACATTGCAATAATAAATAACAGGAGAAAAACATTGTGTTTGCTGTCAGCAATCACATTATGGCAGGAGAAATAGAACAGCATGTTATTTCATGTTGCTTTAAACTGAAATGATTTACTTACTTAAGAGTAAAGAAAATTATAACCTTGTTATAGAAAAGTTTTTAAAAAAAAACAAAAAAAAAACAAGTTGACTCCTAGTAATAGGTTTAGATGATCTCATGATTTTTTTTTTCTTTTTTGGGGGGAATTAGTTTCATTAATTCATTTTTTTCATGAGTTAATTTTTACAATGCAAAATGTGCCACCAAACAGAGCCGGATCCTATGAAATGTACAACATTTTTCTTGGAAATGTTATATAAAAGGCTCAAGTAAAATATCTCAAAATTCTATTTAAGCATAGTATTTTAATGGTTCTACTGAGTGCTTGATAATTAACACTCAGTATAATTTATAAATCAGATATAAGGTATTATCTAACTGCCCTGATCATATATTCCATTTGATTTATAGACCTTGGCCACATTTCTGTATAAAGATGCTCTTCACTGCTACATTAAATCTCCGAAACACTTTATTTTTCAGAATATTGCATTCAGAAGCAATGTGCTGCCAGATGCAAGTATGAGCATTTTGTCTACCTGTGTATGGCCTCCCACAGCATCAGACTGTACTCTCTGTAGAAATAGTTTGGGAGTTGGGACACTCCTCTCTCACTGCAGTCAAAATGGGGCTGAAGGGAGCGATAGGTAAGCACCTTGTACTCCCTCTGGGCCAGAACCAGCAGGCCATCACCACCTGTAGACACAACCTATACACAAACACAACCACTGGATCATGATCATCAAGATGGAGGGTCTGCTAGCATTTACAGCCTCTGGCAAGATATATTAAGGGCTCATTAAATAACATTAGAAAATCTATTTCAAACATCCTGTGCCAGTGGAATACCTGTTTGAAGATGCCATCAGCGGAGATGAGCTGACTGCGCCCTCTAGTGTTGATCTCTAGAGTGTAGCGTAGATGTGGGGCCAGGAGCTGGAGCAGGAAGACAAATAAAACTTACCAAACTACATTTCTAGACAAAATAGCATCAGTTCTCTAACAGAAGTCAAATTAGAGTTTTAAGCAATAGCACAAACACTTTCAAAACTTTCACCATTCATAATAGTCCACAAAAGAAGTAGAGCAGCAGTGGAATATGCCTTGGTTGTTCGTACAGGCCCACAGATTGCTCTCAAACTGAACATTTTCAACCTCAACTCTCTTGAAAGAGTTTTCACGTGCAGCGTGGGTTCTCTCCGGGTTCTCCGGCTTCCTCTCACAAGGTCCAAAAACATGTTGAGGTTAATTGGTGATTCTAAATTTTCCGTAGGTGTGAATGTGAGTGTGCTTGGTTGTCTGTCTCCAAGTGTGGCGCTGTGATAGACTGGTGACCTGTCCAGGGTGTCTCCTGGCTTCGCCCTGAGTCAGCTGGGATAGACTCCAACCCCCCCGCGACACTGGTGAGGATTAAGCTGTGTATAGATAATGGATGGATGGAACTCTCTTGAATACAAGAGCTCAAAAAATAAATAAATAAAAAATTTACTCCCAGTAATACTGAGTTTAAAAGATTGTTTTTTGCTTGTTTTTATTAATTCATTGTGTTTTAAGTCCATTGACAAAATGAAATTTCGAGTAAGATGGAAATATTACTATTATTACTATTATTATTTTTTAAGGAAGAGCATTTGTTCAGCAAATTTTTGAGTACTTTAGTGAGAATTAATACTGTACAAATGTAGACTTTACTGGATTCATGAAGACAACGGGTATATTTATTTCAACCACAGAAAAACGAAACTCAGAGATAAAGGCCCGTCTCAAATATAAGCTTATTTCAAATAAAGGTTGGATTCTCTCTGCGCTTTAAGTAATTACAGACATGACACTGTAAATGATGCTTACTTTATAAATAGGGTGTACAGCAGGCAGCTGTCTCAGAGTAGCCACGCAAAACACCTCTACCACGAGGTGGGTCCTCAGCAGGTGAGACAGCACCTGGAACACCTGGAACTCAGCGTGACGCACCCACATTTTAGCCAACAGCCAAGCCAGAGGTGGGTCTTTGGGCAAGAATATAGTCGTGTCCGGACCTGGAGTCTGCTCAAGCTGAGGACAAGGAGGAGAAACTATTAGAGACAGTGAAGGAAACATGAACTTTGCATGCAAAGAACCTCCCAGACAATATGAAGTTCAGAAATCCGTCCTGCTGTATCTACTTCAGTGAATGTGTCAGCGAATGTGACAGATGTGCAGTCTTTCTTCAAATGTCCGTCATTCTCAGCGGTGTTTACATGAAGATGTTTTCAAGTTTACATGGAGTATTCGCAGGTATTTTATGTTATTGTTACTTTATATTACAGTATATTTTTACAATCAGCTTTATAACGGTGTAATTAAATGTTCTCACCGGTTTGTATTGTGTACTCTCAGATTTGTATTTAGCAGTCTTACTTTTTATTTACATTTTATACAAGTTTACATCTATTGTTGCATTTAGTTAAATAAAAAGGTTGTGTTTTTACCAGCAGTAGTCTCAGATTTAACTTTTTTTTAAAAATCTTTTGTTAACCTTTTACAGGGTTTCAGTGGTCAGATGTTTTCATCCAGTGTTGTTAGATTTCAACATTTTTAGAAGATTTACACACAATATCTTCTGCTTTCAATTCAGTAGTTTAAGATTATTATACGGACTGATCACATGTTTTTATTAAGCATTCCTAGATTTGTAATTTTTCAGAAGATTTCAATGGTTTTACATGCAATAGCCACAGGTTGTAATTTCATAATAATACATTTAAATGCCTCTCTTGAGATTTTTTAAATTAAATATACTTTTATTTAAATTTAATATACAACCCTTTTAATAATAAAATCTGATAAAAACCCTCATAGCATTGTTCTCAATGACGTCTTTACTAGTTTCAGTTTGTAGGAATGCCATTTGTTTACAACCACTGATCAAGTTTCACGGAATCTAATTTGAGCCTGTGTGATTGCATGCATCCAAATCAGTGACATGCACATTCAGTTCATTCATTTAGTATTTCCGTCTAGGTCGAGAGGCATAATGGGTGTGACTTATATACCTGTATAGCAATAGGTATGAGTCCGTCGTCTGGATGTTGGTACATGAGACAGAGGGGAGCAGCAACGTACTGAGGTTCACCCTTGATTGTGTTGGTAGGAACCCCTTCCATAATGGCATAGTCTAGCAAGTAGATATTCCCTGCCTGGAAAGGAGCAAAGCAGAAAAATCAGAAGCAAGGACACTGAAGGACTCTAAAGTTAGTAGAGATAGGCGTTAGCAGTGAGACATAAATTACACAATTGTTGGCTGGCTACAGTTAATAAATTCGTAGTGTCACACTAAAGCCAAGACAGATGCTTTTCTCCACCTTAAGTTCTTTGTCCAGGTTGGTTCCAGCAGCCATGGAGCTCTGCACCATGTCTGGGGTGACAGGAAAGTTCTCTGGCAGCGTCTTGCACTTCTGGATCATTCTTGGGTTGGAGCCATTCAGACACTGGTAGCCAAAGAACCAGTCCTCCTTCCAGTGCTCCATACAATACTCTGAGTTACACACACATACTGGTTAAGTAATTAACACTGGAGGTTTCTCTATTTGTCAACTCAGCCGACCACTTTCTTACACAGCTGTATGGACAGATTTTTAATGGAACACAGTTTTGAACTGTGGTCAGAGGTGGCCATAATGGTAAGGCTCATTCATTTATTGTTTTTACTATTGCATTAGAAATTTCAATATGCAAATAGAAACTGTCAAGCAGTTTTTCATTTGTTTGTCACTTTCCCCATCAGGTTTTGTTTAGAGCGTATTTACGCACCAGCTATGGGGCTTCGCAACTTCCAAAAGATCCGCTTGAAATCATCCAGGTCATCCCAGGACTTGCCAAACTTGATGGCTAGCTTCTTCAGAGACAACTCCAGCAAGCTGATGAGAAGGAAGAGGGCATTTTTTCCTGCTTGTTCTTTGATTTTACAGATTTACCTACCAATTTGGGGACCAAAAGGGCAGCCCTTTTTTCTTTTAACTGGCCATTTGTGTGTGTTTGTGTGTCTGTGTGTTCACCACCTACGCATATTGTAAAGAATGTTCAAAGTCGCTTCTTTTCTCATTGTCAAAGCGGGCATCTTGGGGCAAATCTGCTTCTGTTTTGGCGTCAATACATCTGGGGATCCCTGGAGCCCATGTTGTCCATCTGACACAGAAAAAACACAGAAGGATACAAACGTTAATACATGATAAATTTAGCATAAACACTATGATGTGCGTGAAACTGTTTCTTTTTGCTGTTATGAAAGTCTGACCTGTAAACCGTCTGTCTCTCCTGCAGCTCGGTCTTCCTGTGCGCCAACAGCTGGGGTAAGCAGTCATCCGTCTGCGTCTTTGCTACGGAGGCAGGAAGAGGAGAGAGTTGGGAAAGTGCACATCATGTCCATTTGAACATCGTCTGTACTGATGACTACAGGGAATGTAAGTTTTTTGTTGCTTTTTTCCCCCAATTTACATCTGCTATAAACATGTGATCTGTATCTGGATAACAAAATCTAATCCAAAGTTCTTTGCATTTATGTCTCTGCAACACTGTGATCTTAAAGTGTAAATTAGTTAGCATAGCACTGGCAAGCTTGTCAACAAACATGGTGTGTTCCAAATTAGGCAACACAACAGCACTAATAGTTAGCATTTATCTTTACACAGCTAACCTGCTGCTACTTGTAATTTCTTTGGATTAGGGCTGGGGTTAGTGTTAGTGGGGTCTAGCTTGTGATTGCAGGAATTAGAAACACAGATTGTTTACCTAAGAACGTACTCACGCTCTTCAGACTGCCTTTACATCTGGCAGTCTGTTAAACGCAATGTAAATCTCAGTCATCATTAACTGTGTGCCTGTTTTCCATTCCCATCTTTAGTCATAAATGCATGTCGACGTTCTCCTAATTAATCATTTCCAAAGAAGAACACAGTTTGCATTAGAAGTTATTAAACACATCAATTTAATTTCACTTAGTGTGAAACTGAGACACTCATTTTGGGAGAGAAAAGGTGACATTTTCTTTCTTAATTTTACCACCTGTAATTGAAAAAAGTACTGGATACTTGAAATGCTGTAAGTTTAGAAAGAAAGAACCTGGCAAAGGTGAAACAGAAGTTGTTGGACGCAAGAGGCAAAAAGATGCATCATTTCTCACACAAAAGCATGAAAGCCGCTCGAGAATGGCCGATCACCTCTGCTTTATTTGCACTGGATGAATGCATCGCCTCTATTTTGGGACGCACAGCTTTGCATGTCATGGTTATTGATCAGGAGGAGGACACATGGACGTAGGATGTTACTTGTTTTATTAAACAGGTTGACATAAATTCATTAGTAAATGAATAAAAAAAAAATTTCCACAGGTGACAATCCAAGTTCTCAGCAACACATGAGAGTGAGCATGGAGAGGCCACTTGCCCTGCCAGTGTGCACTCTTTGCTATTCCTACCTCTGCAGGTTGGCTATGTGTGTGTGTTATCAGGGATGCTGTGTTAGAGTGATGGTAGGATGTCATTAATGCAACTGACAATGTTACAGGGAAGTTATGAGACTTGCATATATTTTTGTCTGAAATAAATAGCACTCTAAAGGAACCTTTCACAGCCACCATTCTTTAGGAGGACCAATGCAACTCCATTATTGCAGTGTGGGAACTGTGTGTGGGTTAAAATGAGCAAATAGTCGGGGCAGGCTTAACTCGTAAAAATAGAAGCACAACAGATTTTAAGTTACACTTTACCAAAACGGCAGTATAAATAAGTTATGGAGTGAGAATAGCCATTAGGCATTAATCAACATCATTGGTGTATCTCAAATAAATAGGATATTAGCAGAATAAAAGTGTTTTCTGTTTACAAATTCATCATCCCGAGGTGCCCTTATTGCTAAATATGTGCAGTCAGTTGTTCAAAACTGCATTGTAGTGTTCGTTCACCTGCACATGGGAATCTGTTGTACGTTCATCTTGGATTATTCATGCCACATGATGAGCATGACACACTTCAGCATGACTGTTACTCACAACTACAGCTGCTGCAATGCAATGTAAAAGTCCCCGTTGGATCAGCCTGAGGTTGGCTGTTTTACTCAAAAGCATCGCAATAGCACCTTGAGCACTGGGAGGTGAATCTGTGGGCTTTGACTGTTTCCTACCTGTTCCCTCTCTTAAGTCCACCTTGACGTCTCCTGTAAGCCATCGGTAACAAGGGAAAGTCAGCACTTTGTCTCCGCCTGGACACTCCACTTTGACGTAGCGACAGAACCAGTTGTCTTCCACCCAGTACCTCTGTTTTTCCAGTCTGACCAGTAGCACCGACCCCAGAGGTGAAGTGCTGGTCACCTTGTACTGATCCACCTGAAGGAAATGGGTAAAGAGGAAAGAAAAAAAGCAACAAGCGTTATCACAAACTACTGCATTCCAGGAAGTAGCTTCATTTACTGAAATATTTTAACAGTGTGCTACATAGCTCTGTGCATTTGATCAATTTATGCCAGGTTTAATAATTTGTTTTAACACATTAATGGCTAACCACAGATCACATGTTCAAAAAAACTGCACTTATGAACCACAGAGACACAAGCAAGAGCTGATACTAAAAGATTTTCCAATGCATATTTAGGAAGTAATGATGAGACATGTAGCTTCATGATCATGAGTGTCAGTGCATTCTGTGTTCTGATCAACTTATGACCTCTCTTCCAACTGGTCTTTAAAGAGCAGTTGTACTTTTATTTACATATCTGGTTTGTGCCAGTTGGACAGATAGGTGAGATTCACTGTACAGAAGGTGATTGAATCATTAATATCAGTTGCCACTGAAATGGGCCTTAAGGGGAAATGGAATAACAAGGTCACTGGTGTAATATAGTTGAAAAAAATATGACAGCTATTTATTTGTGGCACCAGCAGATGCAGTGGTACTTGTTAGTTCTCATAAGGTGGTGGCAGATTTGTGGGAGGCCAGAGAAGAGGCAAGACTTAAACCAGTTGTTGTTGTTAGGGTCAGAATATTTGTGTAAATGTGAGATGTTTAAAAGTTACATTTTTGACTTAAAATCCACTTTGTGTGTACACAGACAGTAAGGTTCCATTGCAGGCCCTGCAGGTCCTCTTTAATAAAAAATAGTGAATGCACTTCTGGGAGGAATTTGACATCATTTTAAATAACTATTGCAATTTATTATTTATTCAAAGGTTTATTCGTAGTGTTGTTTGTGTTTTGTATTAAGCATTTAAGCAGATTGTCTTTAGTTCAGTTTGAGACAATTTCAGTAAATTCAGTCTATTGCTTGGTCAAACTGTTACATTATGTTCAGTACAAAACCAAGCCTTTATCAGCACTGTCAATAAGCTCTAAAGATGTCAGTCATAAACTACCTGTAACTGTATATGTCATGATAGTTTCTGTAATGTTGTGGACTTAAGCTTTAGTTAATAAGCTTTATTCTAGTATATGAAATGTGCAGAAAGAACCATGGTCAGCTGTGATACATCAAACATGGACAAATGCAGAAAAAAAAACAAAAAACGAAGTCATGTTGACTACTACTTCTTTACTACTTTAACACACTTACTGCTCCTCGACGGAAATCCAGTCCAGGGTTGTCCAGCAGGGTGCGCTCACTCTCTCCTTTATCCCCCACCAGGGTCACAAAGACGTAGTTGTTGGTGCCTGAATACTGTGATGTACCAGTTGCTATTGTCACAGTGTAGACTTCCATCTAAGGGGACACGCACACATGCAAACACATTCAGTTAATAAGTGTTAAACTAACAACACCTGTTCACTGAAAAGTCCGGCCTGATGCTCATATTGATAAGAGGCCTTTTGTGACATCCATCCATCCATCCATTATCTATACACCACTTAATCCTCACTAGGGTTGCAGGGGGGGGGGGATTTTGAATCACCAATTAATCTCAACATGTTTTTGGACCTTGTGGGAGGAAGCCGGAGAACCCGCAGAGAACCCACGGGGAGACTCCACGCAGAAAGATCCCGGATGTCCGCACTGGAATGGGAATCAGGGACCTTCTTGCTGCGAGGTGACGGTGCTAACCACCGTGCCATTTTTTACCAGATTCATAAAATTAAGCCTACAGCTGCTTCATCTCTATGGATAAACATCTAAACTAAAATGAGTTGTAATGAAGAGTTCAGTGATTGCCAACAAAGAATTGCTTCACCAAGAATTACATCAGTAATATGTATGTCCAGTGCTGTTGGAGGAAGTGGTGGATTCTTTGTATAGCCTGCTGAAAATGAGGGATATGGAGTTTGGGTTGGTGGCTGGCTGTGTATTTCAAAACTGTGTTTCGTAAAGGTTAGATTTCCACACAATCAAAATAATGTAACAAACCCACATTCCATTGTTACATTCTACTTCTTCTAAAATGGTCAGGTATGATAACTTTCTGGTTGTGCCAGCTGGATGACATAGTATATGCCCCCAAGCAACAAGGTGTGAACAAAGGTTACATGTCACACATTTCACATTAGTGAGTGGTAGTAATGAGTCAGCTGACAGTAGCCAAATAGCCAAAAAGCCAAGGTCAAGAAAGCCTTTAACATTAGTCATCCGACAGAGGTGCAGAAGAATAGACAAGAAATACAAACTGCCAAACAAAGACTTACAGCTCTGGCTGCTAGACTGAAGAGAAACACCAGAGAATCAGGGCCCAAGGAGATAAATCTCCAAAGACCAATTTGGGGTATATTCCCAACTGGGAGAGAATACAAGGATAGGCCCACCCAGTGATGAGAGTGACCCATATTGGAAAAGCATATGGAAGAAAGAGGCAAGATACAATATCAAAGCAAGTCTGATGACCGGTGGACCTAAGAATAGACCATAAGCTGGACAGCACCAAGATCTGACAGCACAAATGAGTGAGCTGCTAACAACAGACACCATCAAAGGAATCCTAACACAGAGCAGGACAGTCCTAAACAGAGGGTATACAAGGAGCCCCTTCAAACTACCTGCCCCTCCACAACATGGAAGCTTTTCTCTATGCAGCTAAGTTGAGCTGGCACACGAATCATCGGAAAAAACACCAGAGGGCCAAAGCAACACTTGCTTGTCAATAGAGCAGTCACCCAAGTGGAAATAAAACTTAAGTATAAAAATGATTGCTCACACAATGCATCCTGGATCAAAGTCTATTTCTTTTTGCCCTTTAAAACAGGAACATTTCCTCCTACGACAGCATACATAAGCATGCAGTATTTAAATTAATGTGCCTTCTGCTTTTTATGAATAGTCATTTTCCTTCCTGGGTGGGTAACCTAAATTAAACTCAAACCTATCAGCTGACCCTGTCAACTCTGTTGTTTACCATTTCTGCTTTGTGCATATTCACATGGCTAAAAAACAGTTTAGGATGTTGTATGCAAACTATTTTATTTTCCAGGATCATGTTGCTATAGCAGCTTCCTAGTAATGTGAAAAGCAAATTGATGCAAATGAGCTGATAAAACAAACAGATACGTGGTGTAAAGCAAATATGACAGTTCTCACACCCATGGCAGCATGTAACTGAAACCAGCTGCTGTGAGCATCATGAGATGTAATGTCCTTGAATGTCATGTTCATTTTGGCATTGCTGTAGCACATACATTGGCTCCTTTTACAAAAGAAGTTGGTAGAATGCGTTGATTCTTCACGATATGCAATCAAAATCAGTCGACGCATAATAACTCTGGAGTGTCCGGAGTGCTGCAACAGTTGCCTGTTTTGATCTGCTGGTACTCCAACTTTGTGTCCTGAACCTGAGAAATCTGTTTGCATGATTCATTTTTATTATTTTGTGCTTCTTTTTTTCTTTTCTGTGCACAGTTTATCAATTTGTGTGACAGTTTGTTTTTTTTTAATCTGTTCAATAAATGTAGGAATCCTTGACTGTGGATTTTCCCTGTAGTTTGGGCTCTGGAGTGAAGAGATCAATGTGCTGTTGGGGCTGAACTGTCAATTCAAACAATGGGTAGAAGACATGTCCCTAAATTACTGTGTTCGCCTTGCCCTGAATTCAATAGAAAACTAGTGGAATATATTAAAGTGCAAGGTAGGAGCAACAAAACGCCTGCAACTAAGTCCAGCTTTAAAGAATCGTGTCTGAAAAATAGCGGAACTTTTGCCCACACATTTGTCCATCCATCCATCCATCCATCCATCCATCCATCCATTATCTCTACACTGTTTAATCCTCACTTGGGCCGTGGGTGTCTGGAGTCTATCCCAGCTGACTCAGGTGACACCCTGGACAGGTCACCGGACTATTGCAGGGCCACACCAAGAGACACACACCCACGGACAATGTAGAATCACCAATCAACCTCAACGTGTTTTTGGACTGTGTGGGAGGAAACCACCGCTCCACCTTGCAGCCCTCCACATATTTGTGACACATCATTAATTTCCAGAAGGATCTACTCTGTCACCAAAAACAAAGATTAACATAAAAAAATATTACAAAATGAAAGAATGGATTTTCACAAGGTGGAGACTCACTTTTGTTGCACTAAAGTTGTACATATTTTCATGTTCTAACTTCTTGTTGTGGAACTTTGTTGAATTATACATTAACTCAAATGTACCCTCCTTTACAACCTAACCCACTAACATTTATCCACTCTCTTCCTGAAAAGAAGGTTTGTTGGGCTTCAAACATGTATGTGTTCCTATAAACAACAGAAAAGATAAGATTTCTTTGAAGATGACATAAGCCTTGATTATTCCCACAGTGGGGGAATTTGCTTTTTACTTTTGCTCTGTCATTACAAAATAATGAATTGTTGCTCTTGTTGCTGTGGTATTGGTACCATAAAACCATTTACATTGTTGGAATAATGAGGTTCTATGCTGCCCGTTACACATATCATTAGATTCAGAATTAGCTAGTGGGCTTTATTTAGACAGTGAGAGGTTCAAAGTCATAAGATGAATGCTTTAACATTTACATAGTTTTGCTGTGTACAGTATGTATTTCATCTGTTGTGTAAAAGACTTGAGCCATTAGTTTGTTTGACCCCTGTTTGTGCATTTGGAGATCCATGCAGCAAAATGTACATTGCTAAATGCATTAAGCCAATAAATTACTTTACAGTGATGAAATACTTCTCAAGCAAAGTCGGCAAAAGAAGGTTGGATGCAAGCAAATGAATTCACCGACTGTTGTATTGGAATCTGCTCAGAGTCAGATGCCCTTTAATAACCTGTTTTGTGTTCTGAATCACTAAATGACACTGTTGAGTTCCATAAATGCAACCCAAATATTGCAAAAATATTAACAAAATGTTTTACATTGTTAACAGAACAAGTGCCTGTAATATTGAGCAACTGAGTTTGATGGAATACTAAAAAGCATGAAAATGCTGATATTTAAAGATAATGAATACCGAAACAAAATTTAAAATCAATAAAATCAAATCTAAAATAATCATCTCTAACATTAAGTTATTTGATTGAGAAATTACTTTGTGGATGAAGAGCATTAGAGCTTGCCCAGAGTAAAAAACTCTAGTTCACTTCACAAGTAGCCACTCAGTCATAATAGGGTGTCTGAAGCCAGGGAACAACTACAAAAACACACACACACACAAAAAACCCCTACCTTGGCACAGTGTTTCGTTCACAGCTTCGTATCACTTTCCTGCCTTTCTTTTCCTGTAGATTTCCTTCGGCTCTGTTTGTCTTGCTTCCTCTCTTTCCCTCTATGTTGAAAGTCTTTACAGGACTCTGCTGTACCTTCTACAGTTATCTGGCCAATGTGACATTTCTACATGCAAAAATCCTCTTTGTTTGAATCTCTTCAGCAGGAACACACTCACTGCTTTACTCTCACATCACAGCTCCTCCTACTCCCCTCAGTCAGTCCTTTGTGTAGCCTAACCTCACTCTTTAACGTGCACGCATGCACGTGCACACACACAGTGAGAGAAAGAGAGACATAGAGACGGAGGCCGTTACAAAAAGGAAATTGGGTCAATATCTGGGATGCAGTATTTGATACGATCCACATTACAGTGCAGCATACCAGTTGCAACTGTGAAATCTTCACAATCAAAAACGTCATTTTTTGAATTACATAATGTTACAAGTTAAGAAATACACCAAGGTTAGGGGAAAATATCCAATAAAGTAACTTTTGAGTGAGGGTAGACTTTATACTGTTGAAGAAACTTCACCTTGTGCAGCCCAGGGTTTTTTATTTTATTTTGCTTGTTAACTTCCACTTGCTACTGCACACTCTACTAATAGCTAAACTAACTAACTAAAACTAGGGGTCTCCCATTCAGTTCACACAGCCAGCTGAATGTGTCTCAAAGTTGGGAATACACATCCCAATTGACAGAGGTCATATGTTTCGACACCACCACAGGTATCAGACCATTTTGGCACAAAGTTACATATGATCCTAACTTGCTTACTTTGTGTTCCAGCAGCATCTTATGTGGTGAAAAAAATTATTATTATTATTTGTTTGTTTGTTTGTTTGTTTTCCAAAGCTACCTGATGTATTTACACTTCACAATGCTCTTTAACACACAAGGAAGAAGTACTTTCTTTGGAAGTACATTTTTTTTATTGACACAGTCACATGCTGGTACAAGACAGTGTCATACCACTGTTATGGTCCATGTACAGTAGTCCTACTGGTGAAACCAGACCAAGTGAAAACATGCGTTCACTTGAGCACACAGTGTACAAACCACAGAGACTTCTGTAAGAGTTCAAATGTACTGTGTACATGCTATTGAAAGGCTGACCACCTTAAGGCTACATAGGTGTTCATGGATGATACTAATGTCACAAGACGAGCTAATCTTGTAACACATAGAGCTATTTGGATGATGGAAAGTCAACTTGGCACTGTGGACTCTTGCTACACCCATGACAGCACAGCTCCATGTGTTTGATGTACATTTCAGGCACAAGAAAGCACCTCCGCAAGAGCCTTTTCCACAGAGCTTCCTCCAAATTTGTAGTGTAAATTGGCTCCATGGAAAGTCAGTAATCACTAAAAAAAAAAAGGAAGGCTTTGTTATCTGATCACTTTGATTCAATACGTCTTGGAGGACAACCACTATTAACTACTAGTTTAATGTTATGAAGTTTTCTGGGTGAAGAAGGACTTTGATTATCAATGCAATCTGCAGTAATGCTTGAGGGATCTGTGGCTTTATCAGCAAGACAACTGCTCTTGCTTCGATGTCTTAAATTGGTCTATGCCACTCACTTTGGGTTTGGAGGCTTGAGAAATTGCTTCTAATAAAGTATAATTAGTAGGATATGTCTATGTCTCCATCCTTGCTGTCTTAGCAATTTACCGTAAACCGGTTCTGCTTCAAAGTGACCTACCAGGAGTAGGGATCTGTCAGGCCATCCCATGAGCAAATAGCTAGGGTTCATAAAGTCAGCATCAGTTCTTCAGAACATATCATGTGGGTTTTGAATTCACAATACCCTCGATTTCAATAAAAATTCTCCTGTAAACTTCATTCCTCATGGTTTGAGTAGCAATAGCAGTATACAGGGCAGATTTGATGGAGCAAATTGCTTTGTTTCCACACATCACAAAACAGTGGTGCAACTGGTGAGCTGAAGCAAATACTGATCTTTGGCTTTGCCCGTTATTGCTTAAAACTTACCACTTAAGTTGCTTCCCTTGGCACCCTTCCTCCACCTCTGAAATGTGTCCCTTGATCAGAATAGTCCGGTGGTTCCTCCATCACGCAATAACCCTTCTAACGGCCATTAGTAGGAAGTTTGTGTTGATGGATGTCAGCACGTCTATGTGAAGTGACATAAGGCACTAATATACAAAATATACAATACCTCACAGTTTCTCTTGATATCATTACACTTTGATCAGGAACAAGCCAAAGCGCAATGAGAGGCAAGCATAGACATTTCAGTAGAGTAGCTTGTTATATAGATGGCTAAGGCGAAGGACAATGGAGTGAACAACAGTAATGTCAAAGAGTTGTGCCTGCTGTAGTCTGTCTCCACCTCTGATTAGGTTGGCAAATGGCACAAGAGTCATATTCTCAAAGGGATTTGTGATACGTGACCTCGTTGTACACATCTGCTAGAGGAGAGTTTGTCACTGCAGGGTTACTTTGCACTTCCACCTTATGAAGCTGTTAGCTCTGGCATATCCCAGCTCCATCCAGGTGAGGACCTTCATGGTGATCAGTGGTCAAAGGTTGGAGATAGCCACAGTACATATAGCAATTCATTTCACTTCTGTCACATCCTGTCGTGGCTCTGTGGTGTTTGAAGACAAATACAAAGGCCATCTCCAAGATAGACTATTGTTAAAGATGCTTCCTCAGGCTCTCTATCAATTCATCTTCAAAACCTGTAATTCAGGTTTGAGACACCTAATCCGAGCCCCTATGGTCTCACCTTGATCGATTCGAGATAAGGTCCCAGCATCTGTCCTCACTCCTGTTTAAGGAGGAGCTGAGGTCAGAGATGGAGGGAGTTGGCTGTTGTGAGAATTGTTCTTCTCTGAGGCTTTCCTTACAACTCTTCTTCGACCTCTTAACAGTGTGCTGCTCCTTCTCATTTTCCTGGTGCTCTTTATGGAGGATGTAAGGCCAGAAACTGAGCAAGTACATTCATCAGGACTTAACAGTCCTTGAATAGGTTTGACTTACCTTGTTTAAAAAAAAACAAAAAAACAACACCAACAAAAAACATTTGGTTTCATGCCAGAAGTCCTTCAACAGAAAAGCACAGCAACTATGTCATGAACAAAGCAAACCACATTTTTTAGAGGGTAAACAAGATGCATAGACAGACTAGTCAAGACAGGTTAATCAATGCAAGATCAGAGAAATGCAACAATACTAAACAGGGCAGACAAGACACAGGTTTGTTCTTAAGTTAAAAGAGAATACACACAAAGTAAAGGTGAAATTGTGTGGATGATTTTTTGGAATATTGGTGAATCTGTCTAGCGGACATTGAACTCACCTGTATGTTTTTTAATATATATCAATATGTATAAGAAAGTGAGACAATACATGTTACATACATACATGTTCACAAACATTTACCACTCCTTCAAAAAGACTTTACACTATATTAGGTTTTTTTAAAAAAGCATTCTTCCCCATAGATTATACTTCTATTCTACATGCCCATGTGTCAGTATAGCAACATGATTGGATGGATAGTTTATGGTTTAGCTGATAAAAGCAAATGATTGGTTGTTTGAAGGTAAGGGAAGGACATGCATCCTATAACTGCTGTATTTGGTGTTACAAAATTCTTGAAGTGGCGAGTCTTTTCCTTATAACTCGTAATTACTTTCATTGAAGTATAAAATGTTTTGGAAGGGATGCTGTTGGGGCTACATTACATATTTCATATATCTTGGGGGCTGTGCCAGGAGGCATGGTGGGAGGTGGTTAGCACTGTTCTCCCTGTGCCTGCGTGGGTTCTCTCCGGTTAATTGGTGATTCTA